TCCTCTTTTCCCCCTCCATGCATGAAACCTCCACCCTTGATAATTCCACTTCATTTTTCTTTTAATTTCCTATGTGGCTAGCTATGGTGGCCACTTGTTTGCCTTGGTTTTGAGGTGTCCTCTTTGTCATCCTATTCACAAATTTTTGTGGGCCCCATCTTGATGAGGTGGCACCATGATTCCACTCGGATTCGGACACATGGTGTCCAAAATTTTCCAAGTTGTCCATGAAATCTTATTTGGGTTTAAATATGATTGGGGAAATTGCTAATTTAATATTTGGAAACCTATTTCCTTTGAGAAAAATTTTTCTTCAGGTGATTTTTCTCCCACTTGGGGGAAAACCCTAATTCTCCCAAATTTTGCCTCTTTTCCTTTTTTGCTAAATTCTCCCTCATTATTTCGGGAATAATTCCTCTTCTTTTATGAAATTTATTATTTTACTAATTTTTTCGATTTATAAAAATTTGAAAATTATTAGATCTACAATTTTCTAATTTTTCTCAATTTTTGAAAAAAATTTGCATCTTAAGCATCACCACACATTGTAATTTCAAATATTCCTCAAATTAAAATATTTAATTTACCTAAATAAAATTTTGAAGTTAATTACATGCTTAGTTTACAATTCCGAGCCGGTTAGGGTTTCTCGGGTCGTTACATCTATATTTAAGAGATTGGAGAATTCTTTCTTAACAAGCCCTTACTAGTTGTTTAACATAAGTCAGAAGTGAAGAATATCCCTTAAACTGTCTAGCTCCTAATATGATTACCTTTTCTAGAGCCACAACCAGATCCATAGTTAGGGGCCTTAAAGTTGATGGCTACAAATTGTTCATTGACTTCTACTCTGCCATGGTCTAGTTGCCTTTTTTGATACTTCTTTGTGATGAGAGGATTTTTTTGGTTGACATGTTCTCAAAGGAGAATGCATTCATCATTTGAACCACTTAATATATGTGGCTCAAGTAATATTTTAAACAAAATTCATCAACCCAGAATGCAGTCAATTTGATGGCCAACCATTTTGTCATGATTCTTTTCCTCAGAAATATACCTGCAAGTTGAGTCTATATGTTATACTTTTTATTTCAACAAAAAAAAAAAAAAAAAACTTGAGTCTATACGTTACTGACTGCGCCCTGTCTTCCTATAAACATGTGTAATCAGATTTGTCTGTTCCAAAATTATCTATTTTGAGAGGCAGTGATTTTCGAGAAGCATTTTAATCTTGTTTGGTTGTCATTAGTCTCAAATTTCTTGTCACTAATTATCTTCTACTGCCTATGTGTTGCAAATCTTGTTCTAGGACAGAATTTAGGGCAGAATGCTTGCTTCAGAGAGCATTTTGATGTTGCAGTTGCCAGAGCAGTGGCAGAGATGAGGATTTTAGGTATTTATGACAAGTTCTTATCATATGGTTTATCATTGCTTAGCATTAATTTCATTTATATAAATTTTCAGCTGAGTACTGTCTTCCTCTGGTTCGTGTTGGTGGGTTGTTTGTTGCCGCAAAGGGTCATGATCCTCAGGTATGAATTTGAATTTTAGTACCCTTAGCAGATTATTAATTTGTTTTCTCTGAAACCACCTTTTTTTTTTAAATGAAAGTATGGAAGATATATTGATGAAATGACGCCAAGGGGGTGCCGGCCATGTAGAAGGAAAAGAGAATTTACAGATCTGTAAAAATATTTACAATCAATTGAAAATCATCTAAGCTATCAGGATTGTGGTCGGGTATAATAGATCCAAAATAATATAACCATTTATCCTTGATAGTGACAAAATCAGTTTCTATTCCTTCAAATATTCTATTGTTTTTTTCTTTCCAAATTATACAGAAAATAGTCAGGAGAATGAGTCTGAGACACTTGTTTTTCATTCTGATCCCCTCCCAAGCAAGAAGTTCGCCATTAACGGACCCCGCCATGGCCCAGTGAACGCCCAGGAGATTGAAAATCATAGACCAGAGCATGTGAGTAACCTGGCACCACAATAAGAGGTGATTGCAAGATTCCAGGTTCTGTATGCACATGGAGCATCTGTTGGCCATAGTCACCCTTCTTTTCATGAGATTATCAAGGGTAAGGATATGTCCCTTAGTGGCTTCCCAAGCAAAAAATGAAATTCTGGGAGGAGCATGAGATTTCCAGCTCAGATTGCAAGGAAATGTGGCCATAACAGCAGAGTGATTCTCCAAAGAACTATAAAAAGACTTGACAGAAAAATTGCCTCTTTTGCTCAAATTCCATCAGAGTTTGTCATTTGCGCTGTTAAGCTGAATGTTGGCCAGCAGCTGCAGCAAGTTCTCTAATTCTTCCATCTCCCAATCCTGGAGGTTTCTAGTAACCACAAAATTCCAAGCCAAAGAGTTATTATCCCCACAAGCATCACTAAAGAGTGTATTCTTGTCTCTAGCAATAGCAAAAATAAAAGAAAAACGTGTTTGAAAATTATCAGAACCGTGCCAGACATCTTGCCAAAACTGGGCCTTGTTGCCCTTTCCTACCACCCACTTGGAGCAATTAAGAACGGCATGAAAATTTTGCATGATACTCTTCCAAAGACTCGTACCAAACACACTTTTCTCCAATGAGGTATGATCATGGAAATTGTTCCCAAACCATTTGCTGTTTATGATTTTCTTCCGAAGGCAGTTGTCATTGTTCCACAATTGGCAAATCCATTTCCCATGAATGGCCTTGTTAAGGACGGTTAAGGAACGCAAGCCCAATCCCCCAGCAACAGCCGGTCTCTTAATCTCATCCCAACTGACCAAATGAAATTTCCTTTTATTGTCATCATCCTCCCATAAAAAACAGCATTGAATAAAATTCTAGTTTTTTAGCTACTTTTCTTTGGAAATGGTAAGCACCAAGAGATAATGGATAGGAAGGTTAGACAGGGTACTTTTGATGAGAGTTAACCTCCCATCATTGGACAGAAATTTACTATCAAACAACCACTTGCTTGGCTTGTTGGTATTTGCAAGTTTTTATTAGAGGGTGTGCTTTCGAGCCTTGGTCTACATGCCTTTGTAATGGACAAGAAGCTGAAGAAAAAAGAGGACCTAGCTTTTTGCTAGTTTTGACAGTTTATTTCCGTTTATGTTTTGACAGTTTTATTTCTCTGTGTAGTGGCTTTGCTACAGAAAAAGTAGTGTTCTTTGAAGAAAAGTCTTTTTTTTGCCTTGAAGTGCTAATCATTTTATCATCAATTTGTATTCTTATGGTTTCTGTAACAAACAATGTTTTCTCTCAGTTGTATATATAAAAAGTGTTCTAGTTATGCATTTTAAACAGACTGTTACTACCACCAAATCCACTGTCACACAAATTTTATATTTCAAAAGCTGTTTTCAAACTTCCAACGATATCATGAAATCCAGGTACCAAAAACCTGTTGTGTATTTATCTCAAGTGTGAAAAGTTGAAACCTGAAGATATTTAATATGTTATTGATTGATGTTGCTAGGTACGAGAAATTAGACATTTGCTTTTGTATGGGCTTTGAAGGGTTTATGTTTTCTGAACAGGATATGTTGGCCTTTTTCCACATAAAAAGAATAATTGCCTTGAGTATCTCTATCAACCGCTTCAACCTGTTTTAACCTAGGCTTCTATCTTCAACTAATTGCCTTCAGGAATCTGTAGTTCAAAAAGGATTTAATCCCATCTAATTCTCCCCTTGTTTCCTGACTCAACTCTTCTTCCTTCGACATACCTTGAAGCTTAAGCTTCATTGAACTAACAATCTGCCAAAGATTCACCGGGAACCAAAACTGGATAAAGTCTCATCATCGTCAATGTCCTCATCTAGACTGAAGATTATGTCAATCATTTGCTTCTGTTAGATTCAATATCAAACTTTGTTTATATACTCCCGCTAGATTTCTTCTGCCCTTTCTCTATTACAGATTTGATTACCACTCAAGTCCGTGGTTTTCCTCTCTACCATCCTTGAATCACCCGTTCCTACACCAGTGGTACTGGGGTAAACAGCATTGGCACTTTTGACATGTACCCGGTGATGGTGGGTGCAAGAATGAGAAGGAAAATGGTTAGATCGAAGAGAAGAGAAAGGGAAGGGTGAAAGAGAGAGAATACTTGAAAACAAGGAATCAGAAGAAATATGCTTGATATTCAAACTTACCATCATTTGGTACATGTCAAAAGTTTCTGATAGGACAACAATAAACCAAACTGAGTTGAATACCTAAGTATTTGAATTCAAATTCGAGCTCTGTTAGGCTTGAATTCAGCTCAAATATTTTGATTTGAATATTCTTTTGGGCTCGGACTTGTTCATTTAGAAAAGTATATAATTGAATTCGATAAACTTGATGAAGATTCTGATAAACATCCTACTTACCTAATTTTTTAAAAATATTTATAAATATATCAAAATTAAAATAGAGTAATCTCCAAAACAGAGTATATATTATTTCGACAAAATAAATGTAATGTATTTGATTTATTAATAGATGAATGAACAAATTAGGGAGCTTTTGAACCTGTTGAGAAGTGTAAAAGTGTATATTAAGTAGGGTAAATGGTATATTAATAATGTACCCTTCTTGTTGTAATTAAAGTATTTTCTTTTTACTGCTCATATAAACCTGTATATTTAGGTCCCTCCTATTCAATAAAATACACACATCATTCTTCAAATGTTATTAGAGTTTTAGGAAAAATCCTATGCCTCTCTCACAAACCCTGATTGACATTCATTGCCAAAATAAGATAAAAAATCTTAAGGGAGCCAACATTTATTGCTGTCTGCCACTCTTCAGCTACTGACCACCATAAGACCAGTTACCAGCCAAAAAGTCAGCCTTTATAGTTGGCTTCACCCTCTAAGCTGCACGACCAGAAGTAGTCGTTGCTCCTTGCACCAGCCAGACCCCAGTTGCACACCACTGTTATTGCACCCCCGATTCGGCCACACCCTAGTTACTCCTCGTGCCGCACCCTTGTCAGGCTAGAACAAACACAAGAGCATTCTTGCGCCAACCTATGGCAACTGGTCTAGCAGCTAGCCGCCAGATCCAGCTGCAGCATGGCTCTTGCCAGTGGCTGAAGTAAACTTTGATCGCTTTGTCCATTATGACCAACCTATGCACAAATGTTCTAGTTGCGAGCCGCCAGCTCCAGCTGCTGCATAGTTTTTGCCAGCGGCTGAAGTAAACTTTGATCACTCTGTCCAACCCGTAATCTCCCATTGGTAATTTTGTTTTGGCCTTAATTGCCCTAAGAAATAGTAAATTATGTTGAAAGTAATATCCCAAATTACTAGTATAAATTCCCGCGTGAGAAACTCTGCACAAAACACTAGAGAATCTCAACCAAGTTGCTAATTGTTTCATTGGTAAAGACTATTGGAGTTGGTAACAATTGATTTGAACCACCCTCAAGTGAAAGGAAACTTCAATCACCTTCTTGGCATGAGATCAAAACCAGGAGATCCAACATTCGATGCTTTGGATGAAGAATTGATGATTAAGGTCTGACTCTGGAATGCCATATCGTCATAAATAAGTAAAATAATCATGTTCCTGTATATAGTCAAAAAAGATTTTGGACTCAATCAAGGGAACTTATCCAAGGGAAACGATACAACTCAATGATCTCATTGTCAAACCTTGGACAACCAAATAGGGAAATAAATTAGTTACAAAATATACCACTTAGTTGAAGAATTGGTAGCAAGAGCTCGGTCAGTATCGCAATCTTACTATGGAGTGCAGCAAAAACGTCATAGCATTAAAGAGAATGATTAACGAAGATAGAGTATATCAATTCATAGCTGAACTAATTGAAGAATATGATTAGGTAAGAGTTCAGATCTTGGGAAAAGAGGAAATACTATTCTTGAATTAGGTAATATCTCTTGTTAGTGTCAAAGAAAATAGAAGAAGAGTCCTTGAACCTCACACTACTAATAAATCTGCAATAGCAACTAAAGACTCTAAACCATGTCAATAGGGAAATCAGCTAAATCATATTGCGAACTCAGCTACCAATGGGAAAAACATGGACAATCTCCGATATATATTTTATAAGAAGCATAGACACGCCAAAGAGAAGTGTTGAGAACTTCATGGCAAGCGCGCTACCTCTAGTAAAGATTGAGGGTACAAGAAGAATCAGGAACAGACACATATGATCCATTCACAGGAAGAGAAGACTAGAGACCTCAATGATTTCAAGGTAGAAATAGAGCCTCTGAGGACCTGGCTTGAACATCTTGAAAAGTCTAAAAGTATAGGTCTCTTAGTATATTCAGTATGCTTTTTAATTTCTGTAGTTTAAATGCCTTGGAAAGTCTTTTGCAATGTCATGGACTATGGACTTAGGAGTTACCGACCACATGACTAACTCGTCCAAATTTTTTAACTCTTATGCTACATGTCTAATTAATAGAAAAATTATCACTGTTGATGGTTCATTAAGCATAATGACATGAATTAAAAACATAAAACTTAATCCTTATTTATTCTTACTAACATACTCCATGTTCTAAAGTTGTA